AGGAGTAGTATAAAGAACCCTCATGGAGAAGCTCTGGGGCTCACTAACTTGAGTGGGTGGAGAGTTTCCATCTGTGTTTTAACACACCTATACTAAAGCAACATTTCTTTCTACCGTAAATACACGCAGGCAACCCCAGTAGTGATATACTTACTCTGCCATGACAGAAAGATGTCATCCTTCCAGCTCACTGATCAAGTTATGAAGGGCACAGTTTTTCTGATTTTACTTAAAGGGAAACTTAGGCTGACTCTAGATAACTATTTTGAACAAAGATAGGTATTTATTAGCTTTAAAATTCATACCTCTTCAACTTGAGTATATGCCAGGTCACCCAGGACTCAGGTGAAATACAAATCATGCACGATATACAACAGATCCGGGATTGGGAGCTGAGATCTGTGTGTTTAACAAAGTTGTGGTCCTGAGACTTCCTTTGAATGACCATCATGTATGTTACTCTCCAAGGACACACACCCTCATTTGAATAGGTTCAAAGCCTATGAAGAGACAGTCTATGCAAAGTGTGTGTATTGCATATCTGCTGTGTTAATATGAACAATGACTTCAAAAGCATTCTTTTGGCATTCAACAATTTATACACTTGGTAAATTGTTGCCACATCTTTGCTCTCCTATTTGCTGGTGTCCTTAGTGACTGATTTTATGTGTTAAAATTCTATGTCACACACTCCTTAAGTGTGTTTTATTTATTTTTGTCTTTGGCATCTATCAGAATGTTGTGCTAATGTTATTATTTTTAGTGAACATTTGGTTAGCAGTTTATTGATGTCATGACCTCTTAATCTCTGAACTGTAAAACCTTTAACCCAAGCTATTCTAACCCCAAAGCCATTTTAGAAGAAGAAATAACTTCTGCTTAAATTATGACCCTTTTACCTGGGTCCTCCTGACTTTATAATTCACTTGAATTTGTCTAATTTAGCCTGGGTAACCCACTCATCATTCAGACCCACCAAGATAAAACTGTCATGCTGGTCAGCCTTCAGTTAGAGGTTCTTGGGTGGAGCAATCTCCAGTTATTACTTTTGGAACTGAAAAGCCTGGTATTCTTGTTAGAAGCTGGGTGATGGAGTGTGAACTGTGGAAGCCAAATAGCTTCACAAATATGCTGTGAGCTTCCAAATCTACCAAGTCTGAGTCTTAGCCTTCTTAACAAAAGCCTTCCTAAGTGGTTTACCAGAACTCCATCCCAGCTCACGAACACCGTGTTGAGGATGTGCGCATTGTGAGAGGGTTGCTTGACATTTGACCTGACAGGGCCATGTTGATTTGGTTATGTATTTATGTTTTATGAGAACTCTAGTTCTACAGCATATGTATTTTCTTCAGTAGAAGGGAGTGAACACATGTATTCTAGTGTTCTACCTCTCCAGGATTTCGACTCCTTCCACTCCACGGCAAACAGGGCTCAGCTGCTTCCCACATTCTTCAGTGTGGTTCCTCCATGTGGGGTCTCCCAGATCCTCTGATAGCACCTATCTAGCTCTCAGGACAACCCACAAGAGATGGAATTGCCCAAATCCCAGATCTGTGTTCCCTCTCCTAGATCCCATCGTCTTACTCAATACCATATCACCCTTGCTTAGATGCAGCCACCCTGGTATTCTTCCAAGACCCAGACATGATACTTTGCATGGCACATCTCCTGTTTAGAAAAACTCTCTTTCATATGTGTGCCTGGACCAACCCTTCAGCTCCTGACTGAAACGTTGCCTTGTCCATCAGTCTGTCAGTCTTTCCCTGCCAAGTCTATTTAACATTTCCAGGTATATTCTTCATTCTTCTCCAGCCTTGAACATCCTTTTCTCCAATACTATCTTTCTCACATTCTCTTTTTGCTACTTAATACACTGAATATCCTGCTAACTCATTGTATTTATGGTCTGTGCCCCTCTTGTAGAAGGTTAGCTCCAAAAGGGCGAGGATCGTTGCCATTTTTATCCAACATTTGTTTGAAATGTTTACTTAGCAAACAGTAATGGTAATAACTATTTGCTAATGAATCCATGAACAGATGAAGTAGATTTTTCCTTTTGACATGATAAAAATTATGGCATTGATTATGATGATGGCTGATCTTATCTGTGACCATACTGAAATTGTGCATCTTATAGGGTATGTGAGACCATGTTCTTGAAGTAGAGAGAATCCCAGCCATCAGCTTTATGGCTGTGCGTGCTCCACATGAGCAATACAAAGCAATCCCTTCATCATGACATTGGCCTGCAATATGGAGTAGGATAATCATCTATGTAGTGGTTAGGAAGCAGGGACTCTATAGGCAGATGGCCAACATTCAAATCACTGATATACCGCTTTCTAGTTAGAATGTCTTGGGAAAGTCACCACATGGAAAATGTGATGACAATCCAAAAAGCTAATGAGTGCTTTTTGGAGACTAAACAGAATGATGATTTCTAAAAAATGGCTTAGCATAGTATATGGCCCAATAGTGAGTGTCCACTACACAGCTGCTGTCTTCATTGCTGTATTCTGGAGTTTTAGCCAGAGCTTATCAGAGGTTAGATGGCAGTGGTTGGAGCTGGACGAAAGCCATCATTTATTATTAAACTTAACTTGGACTCTCTTGGGTCTTTCAAGGCAATTCTTGACTCCTCCTTCCCCCTACCCTGTCCCTTCTCAAGCATTCTTTTACTATTTTAATCATTAAAAAATATAACTTAAATTTTGTATGTGTCTGTGTCTGTGCCTGAAAGCTTTGTGCATGCAGTGGTCATGGAGTTCAGAAAAGGCATTGGATGCCCTGGAACTGGAGTTACAAGCAGTTGTAAGCTATGAGGTGGCCACTTGGAATAGACTCCAGATCCTCTGGAAGGCAAGTGAGAACTCTGAACTGTTGCGGCTTCCATCTTATTTCGGTAGTCCACCACCAAGGCAATTCACCATGAGCTGTAGAACTTGTGAAAAGTACCTCTTTGAACTTCACATTTAAGTTCCAGGTCCTCAAAGAAAGGTTCTTGAAACAGAATTATCATTAACAGCCTATTCTATGGAAGACATAAGTCAAGATTTAGAAAAAGGCCTCCATCTGGATTTTAACCAGCCCTTCGGATGATCCTGATCTACACTTTAAGTTGACAATAATTGGCCAAGTAGGTAAGCCTACTTGGATAGGTAAGCCATGTGAGTCTGACTTTTTAATTTTATATTGTCATGGGGGATCCAGGATGAAGACAAAAACATTATACTGAGTCACCAATTACAGAGTACATTTTCTTCTTTCCTTTAATAGTTTAGGTTGGCCTATAAAATAAGGGGTTTCATTGTTACATTTTCACACACATGTATCATTGTATCTTGTTTATATTCAATCCTCCTCCTTCCTCTGTCCCTCTTCTCCACCCCTAACTGGCTCTTTCCTTCTCCCAAACAGTATCCTCTCTGCTTTCATGCAAATATACGTGTATGGCTCATTCACAAATCCAGCTCCTGCCTATGAGAGAAACAGGATATCTTTGCCTCTTTCTCTGTTATTATTTCTTGTTCTCCCTTTCCCCTTCCCCTTTTAGCGTCCCTGTTCTGCTTTCATGCCACATGTTTATATTTAAAATCTAGACTGGACACATGAGATAGATAGAACATGTGCTGTGTCTTTCTGAGTCTGGCTTAATTTAACATGATGATCCCCTAATACCCATTTTCCCGCATAACTTAATTCTTCTCTTTGGCCTGGCAAACTGTGTATTTACCACATTTTCTCTACCTGTTCATTTTCTGATGGTCACCTTGGCTACTCACTGATGTGAATGGAGCAATGATAAATATGAATGTACAAGTGTCTCTGAGACATGTTGTCCTAAGATTCCCTTGGCCTTCTGAGTCATATGGTAATCCTAATTGTAGTTTTTTGAGAGCTTCTATACTTGTGTTCATAGTGGCTGTCCTGGTTTACCTTTCCACCAGCAGCATATGAAACTCTGTCTTTCCCCAGATCCTCACTACTATTTGTTGGCATTTGTATCCACGATACTAGCCATTCTAACCTGGGTGAAATGGAATCTCAAGTACTTTAATTTGCATTTCCCTGACTGCTAAAAATGTTGAACATTTAAAAAAAACATATTTATTGGTCATTTATATTTCTTCTTTTGCAAACTGCCTATTCAATTCACTTGCCTATTCATTGATTGGATGGTTTGTTTTTATGTTATTTAAACTGTGCAGTTTTTTATACATTCTAATTTGCTGCCAGATGTATAAATTGCAAAGATTTTATTCCTTCAGTAGGCTGTCTCTTTATACACAGTGAATTTTCTTATGTGTACAGACTCATAGCAAAGAGATGGTAACTCTGTGAAACTATTTCCTCATTTAGGTCAAGGTTACTCATTTCTTTTATATTTGCCATTAGCTTATTATCAAGGCTAGTGCTTTATTGCTAAATTCACTTTGTCTGTCTCTCTGTGTGTGATTAAATATTAAATATTAAATTATTTATTAATGCATAAAACAGTATCAAGAATTTTATAGTCTCTGAGAAAGTATTTTGGCAGGTATACCTTATCACTAACAAAGAGGGTGTCTTTTGCTTTCACAGGTAGCCTTGAGGCTTTGAAGGAAGAAGAGAACAGTCAGCAGCATAGAGTTTTGTTGTGTTTGTTCTTGAAAAGCTCAGTGATACAGAAGTAGAAGTGAAAACTTGCAGCACATGCTTCATTTTTTACAGATTTTTTTTTTTGCTTCCTTGTGCTATGCCAAAGATTCCTGTAACTAAGATAACCTGACATCCAAAAATAAGCCAAGATAGGTAAAAACAAAACATAGCTTCATGGAGGGAACAGGGGAATTTATCAAACATTCGAGAAGTGTTAGTGTGGAGGGCACTGGGTAGCCTCTCTATTCGCCATGCTGGTGCCTTTCACTCTGCACTGTGCCCTTTGAGTCCTCTGAAAGCAGCATTTCCTCCTCCAAAAAGCCCTGCAGCTGCACAAACACAACCCGTGTTCCTCGGCTTACCAGTTTAATGTGCTCTCGCTTCTGGTACTTCTCACTGTAATACTGCTCTTGCCGAAGATTAAGCAGCTGCTGTTGCTGCTTGTCCTTCAAGTCTATTAACTTCTGGGTCATTTCTGCATCCAGAGCAGCGAGGTCTTGCTCAATGGCCGATGAGGCATGGTCAGGGCTGCCAGGTTCGGATCTGCAAAGACACAGTGCTTGGCTCAGGAACTAAGCATGTAGTAACAGGTGATTGGAAGGTTCTGGAATGACTCCTCTCAGGGTCACTGGGCTTGGGAAGAGACGAAGCCAATAGAAGGAGAAGCATCCAAATAGAAACTATCTTTGAATAAATTGTTCTTCACATTATATGCAGTACTCAGGGGAGATGATGGATGGGTAGGGGATGCTGTAATGAACATAATGTCTGGTGACTACTTTGAGAAATACGTAGGATTTACTTGTGGATTAAGGGAGATGAGAGGCAGGAAAACATAGCTAGGTCCTCAAGGTCTTGGCTTCTCCTGATACATCTTTAGATACTAGGTGACAAGAAGTTGGAGACTTTTTGTCATTGTTGTTTTGCTATTTTGAGGGAAAGTCTAAAAAAAAAAACCACATGGTAATGCTTCTACATCTTCCATAAAAACAAGGGCAAAGTAATTACAAGACTGCTAGAAATAAATCCTTTGATGATATGATATCAGGGAAGTATTTCTCTCTTGGAAGAACATGCAAGCTTTGTTTATTCAGAGATGTAGAATTATCTGACCTATATTTTCTTTCCTCAGAGGCTAAGAGTTTAGTCCATGCTCAAGGACAGAAACTGCATCAAAAGTTGATGCTTTACTGCAGAAATACAATGTGAGCTACGCATGTGATATTTGACCATGAATGTCATTTAAAACTTTCAGTAGTCATATTCAAAAAAGAAGGGGGTGATACTAATTTTAATAAGATGTATTATATGATGGGTATGAGGTAAATACCCTAATCCTAGCATTCAAGAGCCTGAAACAGGTGGATTGTGAATTCGAGTGCCATTTTTAGCTACATGGTAAGCCCCGGACACAAAGTAATAATTGTGTGTGCATATGTTAATTTAACCAATTAGAAGAACTCAAGAGATGTAAGAGTTAGTTTAGTTTTCTTTTTAATGGAGTCCACGAAATCTGTTGTGCAATCCATAGTTTGACCACAATATAATACTGATAAAATTTACTTTTTTTCTTGCCCAGGTTAAATGTGAATTTTCCCACTGAACTATAACCCCAGTACAAATGAGCCACATTTGAAGGGCCTAATAGCCACATGTAGTTCACAGTTCTTGTCTAAGGTAGGTGTGTGTGTGTGTGTGTGTGTGTGTGTGTGTGTGTGTGTGTGTGTGTGTGTAGGTGGCATGTAAGTCCCTGTGCTCACAGGTCAGCATTAGGGGGAACCTGGAACTTTAAACACACAGGGCTGTTCCTTCAAAGAAAGGGATCTATAATCTGTTATCTCCCCAGAAGCCTGGACACAGATGTGATTAATAGCCTGGTGACCTTTGTGCTATCTGTGTAGCTGAGACCACACTGGATCCTCCTCCAGACCCTTATCATAAGCTTGTTTTTCTCAGCCAATCAATAAATCTTTATGGGAGATGTCACGTGTATTTTACAGAGTTTTGATGTAGTCATGCCCAATCTTTAGTTTATTTTGTGCTTTATTGTGCACATGGGATAGGGTTAATTCTCAACAGTAAAATGTTCATCAAATTGTGCTTGCTTAAATATGCCATAAATAAACTATTTGTGGTCAGACTCGTGAAGATTGAATCAACAGGCTACTTTGTCATGTTGAACTACTTTCTTGCCTCCTGTGAATCATTACTCTGCTGTCCATGGTGGTCACACAGACCCTGCATGTGTGGTGTGGTGTGGTGTGTGTGTGTGTGATTCAAGCAGAGTGGAAGGTTTTGGAAGCCCTGTCTGGATTCCTCTGCATGCTGGCATCTTCAGACATCATAGGCTGCAGAGGTGTGTCCGGTAATGTTATTTTGATGCACTATTAGGAATTAGGCATGAAAGAAAATAAACAAACGAATGTGTGCATCATTTAATTGAAGTTCTTTGGAGGTATTTTAGAGCAAGCTTCACCTTCACTGGCTGTGTAGTTACAGGTAAATGCTATTGATTTAGCCTTTAGAGTCCCCTTCAAAGAGCGACAAATTTTACCTGCTATCTCCTACATCTGTTCTACCTCTAAGGAAAGGTGATTTTGCCACTTTTAAAAAAATCAAGTATTGCATTTCAATTGTGTTTTCAAGGTGAGCACATGTTATATCATATGTCACAATATGGCTCTGAAGCTGCATCCTAATTTTCTCTACAGCCTGGTGGCAAAGAGGATGACTCAGAGGACTGTGAGAGGAAGGATACAGCCCAGCCTACTGTGTTTCCGGCCCATGGACAGGAGGCTTACACACTCACACAACACAGCCTATTGTGTTCTCAGTCCACAGACAGGTGGCTTACACACTCATACAGCACAGCCTACTGTGTTCTTAGCCCATGGATAGGTGGTTTACACACTCAGTTTCTGGGTGACTTAAAGAATTTCCAGCTAGAGAAGAAGGCTATATTTCCCAGTGGCAATTATTCACTGTAAGTCAAACCCTTGAAAGACTTTAATGAGAGCTGATGACATGTTTCCAGGAAAGCTCCTACTATGAATTCTACATCTGGTTTCCTGGATCTGTGATGACAGTTAGATTACCCTGACCACATCTACTGATTTATCAGCTAACAGGAAAAATCAAGACATCTCACAAGAGTGATTTGTAAAACAAGTTTCTTGGTTAATCTCTGCAATCCCAGCACTCAGGAGGCTAAGGTAAAATATTGTAAAACTCATACTAGTCTCAGCTAGTTCAGGGCCAGCCTGAGCTACACAGAAACTGTTTCTCAAAAACCCAATAAACTAACCAAATAAACAAAGGACTGGGATTAAAGGTGTGTGCCACTACTGCCCAGGCATCAAAGGAATATTTTTTAAACCAAACTACAGAAAATCAAGTAAATAAGGGAAGTAATGGCTTAAAATGCTTTTGTCACCAGTATGCTATTTGTTTAAAAACTCAAGTGTACACTGGGATAGAACTCAAGGGTACTTTTACTTTTAAAAATTAAAAATCTTCTAAAATATGTATTTTAACATTATAAGCAACGTTTTACTTTAAGTAGTGTGGACTGGTGTTCACGATGATTTTAGAATATTGTCTTACACTATGCTACTAGTGTTCATTAATTAAAGTTAAAAAATGTAAAATTGCTTTGACATTTTGCTAAATAATCCCAAGGAAGACAAAAATTCTTCCCTAAAAAGACACTAAGAAAACTTAAGTCACCTTCACTTTATTTATAGTTCCTTAATTATTAAACATTGAAGAAAACATTTTCACAATAAAAATCAACCCCACTGATCAGAGAGCAAAATATTATTTGTCATCAACAAACCAGCAAGGAACACTTTGAGAAAATATATGATCACAACTTAGGAAAGTGGGCTCAAACAAATAGAACAGTTGATAATTCATCTTATTTGGCTTTTGCTGTCTCATAGGTATATTCACAGTACAGACATATACACTGGAGCACTAATCAGTTTCTAAATCCTTTGTGGGACAATAGGCACCTCTTCTGGAAACAGCCACATGTCAGGTTCCAAAGTCACCAGGTCACAGAACACAGCTGGTGGGTAGGCACCATGCTTTGGCCCCACTGTAACAGCATCCTGTGCTCTGTTTGTGTTTCTGACTTGGCCATGAGTGAGTGGGCTTCAGGTCCTTGTTGCTGTACTGTGGAAGATGTCTGTATACACTGGGTGGGGATTCAGTGGGAGTGCACAGGGATGATGTCTGTATACACTGGGTGGACTGCTGTGGGGAACACATATGGAACATGCCTGTATATACTGTGTGCATTGCCTTGGGGCGTGCACTGGGAAGTGCATGTGTGTGCTTAGTTCCTTTGTGCTGTGTTCTTCCCAGAACCTCAGTTTATCTGAAAACCTTCTTTCCTGTTTGTCTGTTGCCAATGCAGTAGTTATGATAGGTTAAGACTGAATAAGGATGGGCCCTAATCTAGATACTAATATCTTTAGAAGATGGAGAAAATTTGGGCAGGAATCCCTATACAGAAAGAAAGCCATGTGATAGTGTAGGCAAGAGATGATACGATGAGTCTACATGCTAAGGTAAGCCATGCATATTTCCTGTAACCGCCAAGAGACCAGGAACAGTGTTCGCCTACACCTCTCAGAGCCGGTGCCCTGCTCACATACTGATTTTGGATTCCTAAGCTCTGAAACTGTGACATGGTGTTTTTTAAGTACCCAGTTTGTGGTACCTTGCTCTGTGGTTCTAGGGAACCAGTCTAGTACTTCTGCCTAACACATCCTTGATGTGATCAATAGAGATTATGCTGGGGTGAAACAGTTCCACACCAGACCCCAGTGTGATCAGAAAGAACCTATGTCACAAAGGCGAGGACCATCTATATGAACAACCTTCAGTGGGATTTGAAAGCAAAAGCCAAGGTGAGATCCATGTGGAAGTCAGAAAGCAGAATGCTGAGAATGGTATTTGGCAGCCAGTATCTGCTACAGCTTAGAGGTTAAGCCCTCCATTTTCGTGCCGGAGATGTGACAGGAGGAGCCCAGGAGCCCAGGAATCCTCACTTCTCTTTCTCATTACAGCAGTCTAAGCATGGAGCAGTGGCTTTTATGTGGCTGGAGAAAGAGACTAGAGAGGCAGGTAGGATTTAACCAAGGCCTTTATGATGCATTTCAATTTCTGGTACACCACTGAAGAGTTCTGGACCAAATCATTTTTTTTTTTTTGAGAACTAAACAATATGAACTTTTATTAAAATGTTGAAGTTGAGAGAGATTCCAGGGAGTGGCTTAGTGAGAAGGGTTTGCTCACTTAGTGGCTTAGGGTTTTCAGGGAGAGGTCTTTGAGAACTGATCTTATCAATAACAAGACTTCAGACCAACAGTGCCAGCAAACCCTGTAGCTTGTCAGAACTGCAGAGCCACCACTACAGGTTTGTGTCAGACATTGGGACAGAGGTCCAGACTTCTGAGTCTGAGCAGCTCTCCCTTTGCTGTTCCTGTCAGCTACACTCTGCCTTAGCCAGAGTGGAGTGCCTTGAACAGATGTGGCCATGGTGATCACATATATTTCAATCTCCCCAAAAGATACCTGGAAGGTTCCAGAACCATGAAGCCATGTCTTCTCTCCTCCAGGTATCCATTTCATATCCTAAACTCTCTTAGAAAAATAACACAAGAATCCAGCCCTTTCTTCTACTTCTGCCGCACCCTCTTTCTAGGAGAAACATTTATCATCATTCAGCTGGACTCCTGACAAAGTGTCCCCTTCCGGTCTCTCTGCTCCTCAGTCCTGGCAGAATACCATCTGGGCACCACAACTTCAGCATCACATGCTCCAAGTTGACTGAACTAGAACCTGCCAGTAGCTCATGAAAAGCCTGGCATAAGAGTCCATCTTCCATGCAGCAGCTAGGAGTATCCTCTGAAGTTATTAATTAGACTATAAATGTTTCACTGAATCATTTTCTTCAGTGGATTCTTACTCAAGCATATAAGTTCTGAATTATGTGCCACTTGCTCCATCTCTAAAAGACCTTGCTGAAATAGTGCCAACTCTACTATCCCTGCAATAAGTTGATTTTTACCTTTTTGAATCTTTCCCTTAACCTGGAACCACCTCCTATCACTGTCTCTCTGTGGTTGTCCATGGTTGACACCTGATTCTATACTGACATGTAAGAATGGGTCTCCCAGCTGGGAGTTTTGGCATGAGCCTATAATCTCAGTATTGGGACACCATTGTAGAAATATCATGAGTTCAAGTCCATCCCAAGTATCTTAGGGTTTCCATTGCTGTGATGGAAACACCACGACCAAAAACAGCTCGGGAAGGAAAGGTTTATTTGGTTTACGTTTCCTGGGTCACAGTCCACTGAGGGAAGCCAAGGCAGGAATTCAAACAAAGTGGGAACCTGGAGGCAGAAGGTGATACAGACGCCATAGACAAGTGTTAAATTGTGTTAAATAGCTGGCACACCAAGCCACATAGTTACACTCTGTTTCAAAACTCTAGAGACTGGGTATACAGCTAAGTAGTAAAGGACTTGCCAAGCATTGCCAACTCCATGGGTTCCATTCTTAGCACTGCAAAAAACAAAACAAAATACAAACACAACAACAAAAACTATGGGAATCTTCTGTTCTCTGAGGTCAGTCTACATCACAATATTGTTCCTTTTTTTATCATCTTCATGATTACGCTGTATGGCTACATTAATTATCCATTTTCTTCTCATTACCACGATGTCTTGGGTTTCTGTTGCTGTGATAAAACACCATGACCCAAAACAACTTGGGGAGTGAGGGGATTACTTCATCTCATACTTCCAGATAACATAACAGTTCATCATTGAAGGAAGTCAAGGCAGGACATCAGGACAGAAAATGATGCAGAGGCCATGAGAAGCATTACTGACTTGTTCCTCATGGCTTGCCCAGCCTGCTTTCTGATAGACCCCAGGACCATGGATGGTGCCACCCAAAGTGAACTGGACTCTCCCACAGTCAAGAAAATGCACCACAGGTTCTTCCATGAACAGTTTGGTGGGGACATTTTCTCGGGTTAAGTTTTCCCTCTTACAAAATGACTCTAGCTCATGTCAGTTGACATAAAGATAACCAGCACAGGAGACTATATATTTGCTATTTGAGGATAACATTTTTATAGATTACAATCATTGCTTTATCCAAGGGGCATGAAAAATAAGGCAAGCTTGTCTCCACCACATTGTAAGTACATGATGCTGTGAGAGCCGTAGGCCCCGGAGTTTATATCAGGGCATTATGGGTTTCAGGTATCAAGAGAAGGTTGAAACTTCTTCATCTCTTCAACTAGACTCTAGGAACATAAGAGTTCTGTGCCTGTCTTGTTGACAGCTGCTATGGTGGGAGGTGCATCAGCCACCTGATAATTGACTCACAGAATAGAGCTCTGGGAGTGCAACTGTGTATTTACCCAAGAATTTGTTCAAATGTAAAAATCCATAACCATAGTCCCAGCTATCTTGGAAACAGAGAAAGAAAGTTTACTGCAGTTCAGCCATTCAAGACTAGCCTGGACAACTAGCAAGATATTGTCTCTTACAAGGAAAAAGGAAGGAGAGGAAGGAAGGAGGGAGGGAGACAAAGAGAAAGGGAGATAACCAAATTAAGTTCACAAGCAAAAGTGAACTTCTCAAGAAAAGCAGAGTGGAGTAGGTGGTGTGATTCTCCTCCCTGTGGTGGCACAGGTTAAAAAAAATGTGGCCCAACACATAAATCACACACACACACACACACACACACACACACACACACACACACAAACACAAGAAGGGACAGCATCTCTTCTCTCATGTATAAAATTAGCAAGTACTATCAACTCACTTTTTCTTGCTGTCCTTCTTGGCGGACTTTTCCAAGGCTGCCCTCCGTCGTAAGTAGTCATTCTGAATCTCATTGTACTTGGTGGTGTGCTCCTTGATGAGCTCCGTGGTTTTCTTGTGGTGTCTCTTGACCAGGTCTTTCATTTCCTTGTAGTGTTTCTTCTGAAGTTTCACGAACGATTTCTGTTGCTTGAGCTCTTCGATGGTCTGCGCCTCTACTTCTGCAAGAGAGGAGCATAAGAGCTGAGTGACAGGGTGGACTGAGAGTCCGGAGAAAGGGTCAGGGGCATCCTGCTCAGAGAGGATCAGACCATCCACCAAGAGCACAGCTTGGATGTCAGACCTAGTGGTCAACTGCTCGGACTTGACAGCCAAGCAAGATGCTACCTACCAAACTTTGCAGAGACCAGTTCCTTCATCTGTAGGTTTTAAGTTTGGTTCCCTTAGATATAGAGTCTAGGATGGGGATTTCGATGCCTGTGACTTACTGAGGGCTGAAGTGACAGGAGGGAGAGAACTGAGCAAGGTGCATGGCAACTTGAGTGTGGCTTTGGAATAATCCCAGGGGAATCCCAAGTGTGCACTGCACCCCAGGGCTGGTCTCCTCATGAATAAAGGCCAGCTTCTTGTGAATTTTGTATACTCAGAAGGGGGACACAACTTTCTAGAACGATCTCCCTTTAGATAGAGGGCAAGTTTGCAGAGAAGTAGAAACTGGATTTGAACAACCTAGCCCTACTACAGAAGGACCACATTAGAGGAAAACGGAGCAGATATCCAATTTCATCTGTTTCAGGATGATAACATTTCTATTAGTTCACAAGGCTGGTCTGATGGTGAAATTTAAAAGAAATTCATGGAAAGTGCTGAATAGTTTCTGGCATGATGCCTGTAGAGACTCAGCAAATAATCACATAGGTTCCGCATCTCCCAGGGGACTCACTGACAAGGGACACACCATAGGTTTCTCCCTATATCTCAGTGGATGTGGTAGTGGAGTATGTCAAGTAAGTGTCCTATAATCTAATTTTCACCAAGGTTCCAGAAGAGCTAGTGGCCACCTGTGTGACTGCAGTGTCTTATCCAATGTTGAGAAAAAAAAGTCAATGTGACAAAGCCTGACCATAAATCACTCAGTATTTCATATGCACACTTCATCAGTTTTGTAACATGCATTTAAGAAATGCATTATCACTTCTGAAATCAAGATTCCATATGTTTCCCTATTGCTTTTCCTAGTATTACAAGAACAGAACAGGGGTGTGGGAAGTCTTTCAATGTATGGCGTGTTAACTTCGATGATTTACCATTTATTTGGACCCAGATTAAGTCAGAGTTCATATGTTCCATTTCTTGATATGATATGCAATTTCTGTTTGGGGAACAACAACAACAAAAATACCATAAACATTTAAAGCTATCAAGCGATTCAGAAATAATATATGTCACGAATCATAACAAATCTGAATAGAAAATGAAATGCATTGTGTATAAACAGGGAAACTGGAATGGTAATTTCTGTTGTGAAATACCAAGGCCTTTGCACAGCTGAGCACTTCCTGCTTGTACCATGTATCTGCCCTGACAGCTAATTTTTCTTCTTTTTGAGGAAAGAAGCCGAGGAGAGAACTAGGTACATTTATTTAACGGTTTCCCTCAGGCTCAAACTGATTCCTGGAGGTTGCATAATAAGTGGGGCTTGCATTAAGAATTTATAGTCCTAAGGAATTGCCACATTTCCTGCTAACCAACTGCACCTTACTTTGTGAAAGAATGGTTTCCGGAGCATCAGCTGTGCACAGTTTAGAAATGGGACTCCCCATGCTCTAGCCTATGAGAAAAAGACACCCTAAACTGCCTTTGAAAAAGCTTCCAGGCAAAAGGCTATCCCTTGGAAGATCCAAAAATGTAAGAGTAATGTCCATTTGCATAAAGACACAGTATCACTAATGGTGAACTGCCCAGAGATGGCCACAGTCAGGGTGGTGGTTGCTGCTTCTGTGTAAGCATTTACGTATTTTTAGATGATACTTCAGCATCCTGTTTTTGGCATCAGTGTTGTATTGCTTCCCACAGAACTCTTTTTTTTATTTAATTTTTACAAAATTATAATTTCACATGTCAATCCCT